GGGATTCAAACCCGCCACCTTAGGTGTATGTGGCTGGCGCCTTAGCTGCTTGAGCCACAGGTGCCGAGCCAATAAAACAAGTTAAATGCTACAGCAGCACTTGCCACATAGTAGGTGTTCACTAAATATTAGCTATTATTCCCAACTACTCATAAGTTCCCGTTTGTAAAGGGTCTTTTTTGTTTGTTTTTGGGGCAGAGTTTCACTCTGTCATCCTGAGTAGAGTGCTGTGGACTCTTGTGCTTGAGCAATCCTCTTGCCTCAGCCTCCCTGAGTAGCTGGGACTGCAGGCAGCCACCACAATGCCCAGCTAGTTTTCCTATTTTTAGTAGTAACAGGGTCTTGCTCTTGCTCAGGTTGGTTTCTAGAAAGGGTCTTAATCAATGGGAATCTCCATGGATTACTGTCAGGAAATCTAGAATACCTCTAAATTTTTACACAAAATTGTAGATATTTGGGGACGAAGTTCAATATTCAGAGAATTGTGTCTCCAGAAAGGGTTGAGGCCACTTCTCTGGGAACAGGAAATGGGCTCAGCTGAAGGGCACAGTGCTCAGTGCTCACATTTCCATATTGGCAAACCAAGGCTCCAAGTCCCTGAGGATCATTCTGGCCTGGCAGTGGGGAGGACCTGTGGAGAAGGGTCTCCACTGTTTCCTGTCTCTGTGCTCTTGGTCAAAATTTAAGCTTGCTCTCCCTGTAAAATGGAGATGTCTACACCTGCCCAGACGTTCTAGGATCATCTAGGGGAATTTGAGGCACAGTGGAAAGACCTTCTTTGACGACAATGACAGTGTTCCATGCCAAAATGTTGCGAGTGCAAGATTGGGCTTCTGGGGTTTACAGGGTCAACTTTGGGGCTTGAAGGGTAGGCAGGTAGGTGACCTGATGCTACCCTGTCTTCCAGTGTATAAGGCAGATGTGGCCCGCCTGGTGGCCAGGCCAGATCCTACAGCCGAGTGGAAGTCTGTGGTCATCCTGGTGCCTGTGCGACTGGGTGGTGAGACTCTCAATCCTGTGTACGTGCCCTGTGTGAAGGTAAATTCAGCCAGTCAATGGCATGGCTGCTTGGGAGCCCTCCAGACATTTTTTTTTTTTTTTTGAGACAGTCTCTTTCTGTTGCCCAGGCTAGAGTGCTGTGGCATCAGCCTAGATCACAGCAACCTCAAACCCCTGGGTTTAAGCTATCCTCCTGCCTCAGCCTCCCACATAGCTGGGACTACATGTGCCTGCCACAACCCCTGGATAATATTTATATATTTTTTGTTTGTTTTTATTGAGACAGAGCCTCAAGCTGTCACCCTGGGTAGAGTGCTGTGGCATCACAGCTCATAGCAACCTCCAACTCCTGGGCTCAAGCGAGTCTCCTGCCTCAGCCTCCCAAGTAGCTGGGACCCCAGGCACCCGCCACAACGTTGACCCAGCTGTTTTTTTTTTTTTTTTTTGGTTGCAGCTGTCATTGTTGTTTGGCGGGCCAGGCTAGATTCGAATCCATCACCTTAGGTGTATGTGGCTGGCGTCTTAGCCACTTGAGCCACAGGTGCCAAGCCTGGGATTTTTTTTAGATACAGAGTCTCACTTTATTGCCCTCAGTAGAGTGTTCTGGCATCACAGCTCACAGCAACCTCCAGCTCTTGGGCTTAGGCAATTCTCTTGCTTCAGCCTCCTGAGAAGCTGGGACCACAGGTGCCCATCACAACACCTGGCTATTTTTTTGTTGAAGTTTGGCTGGGGCTGGGTTTGAACCCACTACCCTTGGTATATGGGGCCGGCGCCCTACTCACTGAGCCACAGGCACTGCCCTAATTTTTCTATTTTTAGTAGAGATGGAGTCTTGCTCTTTCTCAGGCTCGTCCTGAACTCTTCAGCTCAAGCAATCTACCTACCTCAGTCTTCCAGAGTGCTAGGAGTACAGGTATAAGACAGCACCTGGCCAGCTCTCCAGACTTTTAAAGCTTAGCTTAGAGCTGCTGTTTATGTGTCCTTCTTCTCTTCATCATTGTATTCAATAGATAGTTAGGGAATGGCTCCTCTGTGCTACTTCCTGTCCCAGTTTCTAGGGAGTCAGAGGTGAAATGTGCCCACTAGAAGTAGACATTCTAATGGGAGAATGCTAGGCAGTGGCATCTGTAACCAAATGGCATTACAATTTGGATGGTAAAGGGAAAACAGTCACACAATGAAGAGCAGATGAGGTGGCGGCAGAGCTTAGGAAAGCCCCACTCGGGCCAAGATGCAAATGAAGAGCCAGAGGCAAAGTGCACCAGGCAAACAGCAGTGAGACAGAGCCCCAGGATGCCCCAGTTCTCCCATGGCCCACAAGGTTGTGTGGCATTTGTCCTCCCACGTCCTTGACTTCATCTTCTGCTCACTCATTCTGCTTTAGCCAAGTGGACCTCCTCACTGTGTTGAGAACAGTGGCCAGGGACACTGGCCATTCCCCAGGGACACAATGGCTCTTTAGGGTCCTTTTAAAAAAACTAAGAGTAGAGTGGCACCTGTAGTTCAGAGGCTAGGGTGCTGACCACATACACTTAGGCTGGCAGGTTCAAACCTGGCCCAGACCAGCTAAAATAGCAATGACAATTGCGATAACAACAACAGTGGCAGTTGCGACGACAACAACAAATAGCTGGGTGTTGTGGCGGGCGCCTGTAGTCCCAGCTACTTGGGAGGCTGAGGCAAGAGAATGGCCTAAGGGCGGTGCCTGTGGCTCAGTGAGTAGGGTGCCGGCCCCACATACCAAGGGTGCAAGGTTTGAACCCAGCCCCAGCCAAATTGAAACAAAAAAATAGCTGGGCTTTGTGGCAGAAACCTTGTAGTCCCAGCTACTCGGGAGGCTGAGGCAAGAGAATCACCTAAGTCCAAGAACTAGAGGTTGCTGTGAGCTGTGATGCCACGGCACTTTACCCAGGGCAACAAAGTGAGACAGAGTCTAAAAAACAAAAAAGGGAATTGCTTGGCTCCCTGTGGCTCAGGTAGCTAAGGCACCAGCCACATACATCTGAGTTGGCAGGTTCGAATCCAGCCTGGGTCCGCCGAACAACAATGGCAGCTGCAACCAAAAAATAGCCGGGCGTTGTGGCAGGCGCCTGTAATCCCAGCTATTTGGGAGGCGGAGGCAGGAGAATCGTTTGAGCCTGGGAGTTGGAGGTTGTTATGAGCTGTGATACCACAGCACTCTACCCAGGGGGACAGCTTAATCAGGCTTTGTCTCCAAAAAAAAAAAAAGAGAGAGAATTGCTTAAACCCAAGAGTTTGAGGTTGCTGTGAGCTATGATGGTACAGCACTCTATACAGGGTGACAGCTTCAGACTCTTGTCTCAAAAAAAAAAAAAACTAAGAGTAATCAAAAGAAATCTTTCAGGTCATCTTTTAACAGGGGCCTCTCCTGACACCTCTATTTGAAATTGCAAAGTCCCTTCCTTCCTTTATTCTTTTCCATAATGTCATCTCTCCCAAGCTAGAATGTTAGCTTCATGAGGGCAGGGTTGTGTTTTGTTTTGTTTTTAAAAACAAGATAAGAGAATTGCTTAAGCCAAGAGTTTGAGGTTGCTGTGAGCTGTGATGCTACAGCACTCTACTGAGGGTGACATAGTGAGACTATCTATAAATAAATAAATAACAGCCACTATTTACTTAGCACTTTTTTTTTTTTTTTGAGGCAGAGCCTCAAGCTGTCGCCCTGGGTAGAGTGCCATGGCATCACAGCTCACAGCAACCTCCAACTCCTGGGCTCAAACGAGTCTCCTGCCTCTGCCTCCCAAGTAGCTGAGACTACAGGCGCCTGCCATAACAGCCAACTACTTTTTGGTTGCAGCTGTCATTGCTTGGCGGGCCCGGCTGGATTCGAACCCGCCAGCTCAGGTGTATGTGGCTGGTGCCTTAGCCGCTTGAGCCACAGGCGCCGAGCCTGCTTAGCACTTTTTATATGCAATGTTATTATAGTCATGACAAACAGAATTCATGCCCATTTTATTCCAAGAAAAAAATGAAGCTTAGAATCTGTGTTAACAGAGCATTGTTGAAGCTGGAAATCTAATTCTAGGCTATCAACTCCAAAGTCTGCTTTGAGCCATCATACATGGATTATATTATCCCTCAAATATATCTTTTCAAATCCTAATTTGCCCAAACTATGTCGCCCTCAGTAGAGTGCTGTGCTGTCACTGCTCACAGCAACCTCAGACTCTTAGGCTTAAGCGATTCTCTTGCCCCAACCTCCCAAGTACCTGGGACTACAGGCAATGGCCACAACACCTAGCTATGTTTTTGTTGTAGTTGTCATTTTTGTTTGGCAGGCCTGGGCTGGGTTTGAACCCACAGCCCTAGTGTATGGGTTCATACCCTAGTCGCTGAGCAACAGCCGCCCAGCCATAACCTTCAACTATTTGTAAGAAATTACTGCTCACAGTGGTGCCCATAGCTCAGTGAGTAGGGCACCAGCCATATACATTGAGGCTGGTGGGTTCAAACGTGGCCTGGGACAGCTTAACAAACAACAAGGACAACTGCAACAACAACAATAAAATAGCCAGGTGTTGTGATGGGTGCCTATAGTCCCAGCTACTTGGGAGGCTGAGGCAAGAGAATTGCTTAAGCCCAAGAGTTTGAGATGGCTGTGAGCTGTGATGCCATAGCACTCTACCCAGGGTGACAACTTGAGATTCTGTCTCAAAAAAAAAAAGAAATTACAGCTCACATATGGGTGTTTTCTTTTTTCTTTCTTTTTTGAGACAGAGTCTCACTTTGTTGCCCTCTGTAGAGCGCCATGGTGTCATAGCTCACAGCAACCTTAAACTGTTGGGCTCAAGCAATTCTCTTGCCTCAGGCTCCCTAGTAGCTGGGACTATAGGCTACTGCCACAACGCCCAGCTATTTTTTGATTGTTTAGCAGGCCCAGGCCAGGTTCAAACCCACCAGCCCCAGTGCATGTGGCCAGTGCCCTAACCACTGAGCCACGGGTGCCAAGCCACATACGAGTGTTTTCATCTTGATCACTGCTGCCCCACTGGGTCTGGATTCCCACATAGTAGGTGTTTGCTATGCATTTGTTGAGTGGCTGCCTGAGAGCACCTGCCTCATATTCTATGCACTCTGTCCCTTGCAGGAGCTCCTGCGTTCGGAGCTATGTCTGGGCATCATGGGTGGGAAACCGAGGCACTCACTGTACTTCATCGGCTACCAAGGTAGGCCATGTCCAACTCCTCCTCACCTCCCCATTGCCTCCTCTTTCCCACTCCTACTCATGTCTATTGGCCCCAGATGACTTCCTGCTCTACTTGGACCCCCACTACTGCCAGCCCACTGTGGACATCAGCCAGGCTGACTTCCCTCTGGAGGTGAGCTGGGATACCAGGGAGGGGGACAGCTGGGGAATGAGAAAGGGGCCAGAGCCTCTGAGCCACCTTTGTCTGCTCCAGTCCTTCCACTGCACTGCACCCCGCAAGATGGCCTTCACCAAGATGGACCCGAGCTGTACTGTGGGCTTCTATGCTGGAGGCAAGAAGGAGTTTGAGACACTCTGTTCAGAGTTGACCAGGGTGAGCAAGAGGAATGGAGTGTTGGGGGACAAAGGCAGGGTTCGGGGCAAAAGAGAAACGGGTATAAAGTTCAGCAGACCTGGGGATGCTGCTTCCAGGCTAAGTATCAATATTCACTTCTCAGAACATGAGCGAATGCTAAGGCCAACTACTAGGTCATTGTTATCCTACATGCAAGCTACAAAAGCCCAGTTCTGATTAGACCCAAAAAACCACATGTAACTAAAAACTTGGGAGTAGGGTTGCATCCAGGGACTCAAATGTTGGGCCCTGTTTCTTGGCTTTGCTCTCTGAACAAGGCTTTACCCTTGTAGTGGCAAGAGATGGCCTCCAGCATCTCTGGGCATCCACCTTTCTAGTTCATTGTAAAGGAAACTACATTTTTATAGTAACTGCAGCAAAACTCTTAAGAGCTGTCATTCATTGGCTGGGTTGGCCCACATGCTTACCACTGAGCCAATCACAGTGGCCAGGGGATAGAAGTTGCCAATTGGCTGGCCTACCCTGGAGTGGTAAATGTAGTGTGTGAGGCTAAGCATTGTTCTCCCTCCTCCCACCAGGTCCTCAGCTCCTCTTCGGCCATGGAACGTTATCCCATGTTCACCCTGGCTGAAGGCCATGCTCAAGACCATAGCCTAGATGACCTCTGCTCTCAGTTCTCCCAGCCAACGCTGCGGATCCCTCGCTCTGGGCGGCTCCTCAAGGCCAAACGCCCAAGCTCAGAAGACTTTGTGTTTTTATAAAAGGAAGAAATAGAGGAAAAGATGCATCACTATTTATTTTTTTATTTATGTTATGCCAGGTGTGGGAACTTGAACTCTGGCAGTGATGGGATTTCCTGTTCTCAG